AGTTTGAAAAGACCATGTTGAAAATTGAAGTTTTACAAAATTTTTCAAACGAGTTTGGGTAATTCACTGGTTGCTCCTTTACTCAATGGAACGATTTAAGCATATCATTGTAAATGACTTTAAAAAAGAAGTACTTGTTTTTCTGGAGGAAGCCACACTTCTTTTGTAAGAAACGAAAAGGGAATCGGGTTTCTATCGGGAAACAACGGTATAAATTTATTAAAATCAATTTTGTGCTTTAGAAGACGAGGTGGCGTGCCAGTACGCAAACGACCCAACTTGAAACCCAATCGAGATAGGGTTCGTGAGAGTGATACAGAGGCCTAAATATCACAAACACAACTTCTTTGCGAATAGCAATTTTAAAAATATCCTAGCAGAACAACACAATAAATAAAAATACCGAAGTTACCAAAATGGTGCGAACATGCAACTTTGTAACAGTTTTAGAGTAAATCTAATAAGTTTTTAAAACAAGAGAGTGAGTAATGGCATGTACACCGCAGTCTTGTCTGGCTCGTAGTCAGAATTACTTGGCATAGCGACAACTACTTAGATAGAATACCAAGGTGAGAGGTTAAAAATTACTAACCTTATCACCAAACCGCCCTCCAAAATCCTTCTTCGTCCCATAGAAAATCACACCACCAAGGAAAGTTCCGCATGTTAAAACAACACTTTTTGAATGAATGACCTTGAAAAGCAGTCGTTAAAATCAGATCCAGCCTCAGCGTAACAAGAGAAAAAAACTTAAGTTTACCATCACAAACATTACTACTCACGTACTTTCCCATTATCCAATAAAACACCGGAAACGCACTGTTTACCATTTTCGTCTTCATCCAGAATCAAATCATCCACAGAACCTTCCAGAGTTGTCAAATTTGGTATATTACAAAAAACTTCCTAGATAATATATTACATGTATCAAAAGAACGAACAAGTAAAGCACCAGTTCTAAAAGAAAGCCTGACAAGATTTACTTCTTGCATGTTTTTTTTATACAACGCACGATCAATCTGCGCTCTCAAGCCTAGCACAGCGGGTCCTGCAGCGGCATTCAGAACCCGATAACTGATTGCAGACTTGTCACATATTCTACCACATAACCCATCCAAAGCGTCAACTTCACGGACAAGGTGACCTAGGATAAAACTTAATTTCTGCAAAAATGTGCCACAAAAATCCGTCTCGGGTCTCTGTCAGTTCGAGTAACCAAACACTACCAAATGAAATATCAAACCCTTTCCGATTCCTCCAAAACTTGGGTTACAGGACATTTCACCTATAGCTTCGATGCGATGAGTAATTAATGCAGTCCTAACCCCAACACGCGCTGATGCTGCGGCAGCCTCACAACCAGCATGACCCCCGCCAATGACGATAACGTCATAAAAAAGTTTTGCTGGCTTCACCACTCGCTTCATATCACAAAAGACTTCCAAAACCTTTGCTATTTTACGCCTGTAAATGACCTTTACAAAGAAGAAAATTTGTCGGAAGATTAAGATTATATACTGCCCGCAAATACGGAAAAGGCAAGGGTCGATTAGAAATTAATATTTTAACCCGTGAACAAACTTTGTAATTTGGGAACGATAAAAGCAGAAAATAAACTGTTTTAGATGTGAACGTAAATCTCAAATTACTTTAGATTTATTTGAATAACCAACATAGATTAGAACTATCATACAAATTAAAGTTATGCAGATGTAAGAGTCAATCGAGACTCCGAACCAAAATACATTTAAAACTTGACTGCACTGAAATCCATAAAGCTAAAACTTGATAACAGTCGACGTTTTGAACAAGTGAATTTTTGCAACGTCAACATTGGCAATTACCTGTTAAGGAGTTACTGTTCATCACACTAGTTGCTGTTAAAAAAACAAGCTCTTTCCTAATCCCAAACTCGGGAAACTAACAATCCTTAGCCCAAAATTTATAGAACAAAAACGATCTAGCTTTTGAACTTGAAGTACAGAGTGAAAAGTACGACAAGATCATCAAGGTTTCTAATAAAACTCACTTTGTAGTTTCAGGTAGTTCAACTGACTCTTCTTCACCAGCCTCAAAAAACATGCAAAGCAAAAATTTGAGATATGAAAGCAAGACGCCTCGAAGGACATTTCGAAGCATTCACTTTTTCAAAATATATTTGGAGCTTCGTCTAAAAGATAAGCAGAAATATTCTTAGTCCCAGTAAAGGAAGCAACCGCTGACTACTGAGACAGGAAAACGCAGACAGTTCTGCCTCGTAAACCCAGAGCGAAACCACAGGAGTCACGTAAATTCAAAAAGCTCACGACCTAAATTTCTGAACAATAAAGCTGATGTGGAGTAAACTTAAGAAGTTATAAATGATGCCTTTGGCCACGATACACATTCATAAAACCAACAAATGCAGCTTCCACGCCACTGTAACATCAACTAGAATAAACATCTGTATGAGGAAATCAAAATAACGTAAAATTGAATCCCTGCGTAAGCAGAAATTGTCCCTGATCACACAACAACGAAAATCTCAAGGATTAATAAACGAAACAGCAATGTACCGAGTTCCACTTACGGTTGGCAAACCCTCATGAAGATGCGTTAAACGTCCAGGGAATATAAGAGAGTGACCTTAAATTAGAAAGCAAACTAATTAAAACAGTAAGAAATTTTGCAATAGTCAAACAAAATCAGACTTCTTGTTAAGCATAGTCTAAATATAATCAGTTTCATTCAACTAAAAAGTGCAATCGTAATATTAGAAAGAAAAAGACCAACCGACTTCACTCGCGTTTACGCTGCAATTATAACGATTAAACCTAACTCCACCTCCAACATAGTCAACACCTTGCTTGTTAAGAGCTATGTCCACGCTGTATGTCGATGCATCATGATGAGGGCGAAGTGAAGGTTGTTCATCTGGTTTATATCGTACAACGAACATCATGTAGGCTTCAACAGGCTGTAAAAAGTCAATATTTTACACCATGCACTTAGGCACTACTTAAAACTTCTAATAATTTAGAAACATAGTGTCACTTTATGGTAATAACCAATATAGATCTTCTCCTGGATGGGTCTAATATACGTGTCCAAAATGTAAAGCCACTGTCTTTCAAAATCGATCTGTTTCATATGAATGTCACGAGTTGGTACATTCTCATAACCTCCGGCTAATCGTTTATCCTATAATAACACAGTAAGACAGCAGTCCGACAAAATTAAAATTGTACTGTTCAAGCAACCGTACATAATTGGAGCCATCAGACCATTGACCAAAGAACTCCACTTCTCCAATTAATTCTTCGCAAAAATCTTTTGACATAAACGGAAAACTGTAAACATCTGGACATGGCTGAGTAATCACATCGCTGTTATCATTTAACGCCAAATGATAACTCTCGTGAAGATAACGAGATTCCCAGAGCTGTAAAAAAACCTTTACCATAAGTACACAAACGAAGAACGTTAAAAAATAGAAAGTTAATGAAAGAAGTGCCAAAATATAAAACTCTGATTGAGTCTGTACAGGTAGCGTAAATCGTAGAGAAACAATACAATAACTTGTAGAAACAGATTACCCTTTAAATATAAACAGTGAACCGTAAATAATAATGTAAATAATAAAAAACAGTAAAGGTTGACCGAATGAGTTTAATACACGTGTCTAATGTAAAATAGACTTACTTCAGGATTGTCAAAAACTTGATACATTTCGGGATGCAGTTTCGTTAAATCAAAGTTTTCACTAACAACCAAAAAGCCGTAATGTCGCTGGTTATCTAAGTACATAAAATGACCCTAAAATGAGAATCTTTAACCACGAAAACAATAAAACTACATTTTTATGTAAACTAACTTTCTCCAAAAAGTTATTATATCATTAGTCGCCTGTTACAAAGCCGAAACAAAAGAAAGTATCGAAACTATAACGCTCTAACATACGAAATCTCGAGCATATTCACAAAAACTCATGTCAGGATCATGATTCGTGTTATAAACGAATGACTTCCCCATCGAAACAAACTGAAAAATGAAGCTGCTTGAGAACAAAAGAAGAAGACACGGCAACTAGCAATGAATACATCCCGACCGTCCGTATCTCACCAGTAAACTTTAAAAAACGCTATCCAATAATTGTACAACCTTCTTAGAATTTATAAGTAGAGCGCTGCTGACAAAAGGGACATTCCACACCCCTTTCTTTTTGTTTGTTACAATTTCCATATAATCGACTGAACGAGCATAATATCCGTCTTTGGCGACTGCTCCCCAAAAGTTGGAAAACAGTTTACCAGGTTGAACTACCAATGGAGCAAGAATGCCTCTGAAATTATGAAAAAAGCGAGAGTACAATAACAAACGCAGGGATTTGCAAAACGCATGCTTCAGTAGCACTTGTGCAAAACAATTGCTAACACCCAGTTTCTAAAAAAAGTTACTAGCAACAAATGAAGTCATTAAAAGTGAAATTAACATGTCATGCAACTCGGCAGTTTTAATAAGTGACAGCAATGTCGACGATTCCGTCAAGTGAACATCAGCATCAAGAAGCAACAGATATTTGCAAGAATGCTTCTGCGCCTTCGCTCTGAAATGTTTGAATTAACTATTGCTTTTAAAAGAAATATTAGAGTCTTAACAAAACTGTTACTTACATTGCGAGGGTCCGGGCTTCCCGTTCCCCAAAGTCGGTATCAGAATTCTCAACATCAACAGACAAGTATTTATCCGACACACTCTGGACAAACTTTTTAACCTGAGCAATATCCCATTTCAAAATGACTATTTTTTAATCTTCAAAAATCTCGTGCGGCAAGAGTACCTCATTTTCATTATACTTTTGATTATTGTAGATGAAAAGATGAATGCGGGATGTCGGGTAATACAAAGCGGTAAACGATTCCAAAAACTCGTGCACAAAAGGAGTGGGTTTTGCAATTAGTAAAGCTATGGTTAATAACGGCCAACTCTCCCTATCTGACTCCTAAAATATTATAGTACTAAGTTTTCCCATAGCACTCGTCTCAGCAGAAAAGGTTGATAAAAACATACTTCTAAAACTTCTGTCTCTTCGAGGTTACACATCTGACACACTCCATTCTCTATCCAAGCTTTCCCCAAGTAATTCCCCAGATAATTAAGGTATGATTTGCTTGGCCCATTGCCATGAAGAATCAGCGGATGAGTGGAATAAGGAATGTTATGAAGCTAAATCACCAATTTTGACAAAGGGTGGTATCCGAACAACTCTTTTATAAAGCTGCAAAAGCATTTCTAGTTTAAAACGCTGTCAAAAAGAATACCACAGCATAGTCATTTTCTTTAAACTCGAGAGAAAGATCTTTTGCAGCGCCATTTAAGTTTTGGAAGATTCGGGACAGCGAATCTAGGGTAAATTCCAAAGACCTCTAAAATTTACAAAGATAATCACAAGGATTGAAATTAATGTAAATTTTCAGTAGCCGGTGAAGATTATAAGTGAACTACTTATAATGCATAATCCCAGTTCTGAACAAATTTATTTTTAATGTGTTACTCTGCTTTCCCGATCCACGTAAATACGAGTATAGTAAAGCTGATCGTCATCAGAATCCTGAACAGGTACGAGGTTAATTAACTTCCAAATTTCAGGTGCGTAACCCATAAAAAGGCCAGAGTTCAAGTAACTGAAAACTGTATCAATCAACTACTAATAATAACCTCATTGAAGTAATTTCACAACAAAAATAATTGTCGGTAAGACATGCTGTCTGATTACCGTTTGCCGAACTGAACAAGTGGATATGCTTCACTAAGTTCGGGATCTGGCCAGCAGAATGACTCCGCAGAAAACACAACTCGATAATCTTTGAAGTCGCTAAGAAAACGGGACATAATCTCTTCACCATAGCCATTGAAAATCACATCAAAACTAAAAAACTGCAGTAATTTGAAGCAAAAAGAGAAAGAACAGTTAGGCCTAATGTGGTCTATTGAAACTATATTAACGAGGTAGTACAAGTGGCAGAAAACAAAGAAGAAAGACGAACGCATCCACGAAAAGCACGACTACATCCTGACGATCTCTGTACTGCTTCAGGTGTTTTTGCAAAATTCTTATCTTTTGACCTCCACCCTTAAATCAATAGCTCATTTTTAACGCAGTATCAACATTTTAAATCCCAAAACAATTTTGAGAGAAAGCAATAAACAGCTTCCCAAATTTTAGTAGTGCCTTAATCTAAAGTACTGCACTGATGAAATAAAGTAAGTACGGCGCAAACGAGATAAAAATTAACAAAAATTCGTTTGCTAAACAATACTAAAAAAAGGCTTCAAGGAAGATCGCGTGCAGCAAATGCTTTCTAATTATCGAGCAAGAGAACTAACTGGACCATTTCGTACATCACCACCAATCCACTTTTCGCCCAGACCAAAAACATGAAGGTCAATATGAAATGCTTCTGCAGACCTCTGTAGTCTCCGTAAACCATCAGTTTCATCAGTTGCCACCGTTACAGCCAAAAGTTTAGGGGAATTCGCGCACACTCCGCCAAACCAATAAATACAGAAAGCGTACAAGTATATAAAAGCAGGTTTGTAACCCATAGCTCTATTTTAACGTCTTTCGCATTTAGACACCACTTGAACGCACACCTAAATAAACTAACTAGAAACAGAAGTTACGTTACTTCTGATAGAAACTAGATGAGATTTTTCCGTTTAACTAAAAAGAGGTGATGTTTCACAGGATTTTTAAATCTTCAGAAATGAAACATCAATATCGCTTCTTTGGCGTTCATTTAAAAACAAAAATAACAAATAAAAACAGAAAAAAACGAGTTTTTTGGAGAGGGAAAGCTGGTCATTTAAACACCAACAGACACTAAGCGACTTGAGAAGAAAGCCTCGAGACACGGAAGACCAACAGCCAGCGGAAAATGATGAGTTAAGGACTGCTGCTGCCGCCCGAAAGCAGAGGTCATTAAGGAGAGCTGCTGATGCCGCTGTTTGGCCATTAACATTTAGCAGTATAAGTAGCACCTCTGCTGACCTCGTCACACAAGTAATGCCTAGATTTATGTGCGTTATATATATATATATATATATATATATATATATAT